CCGGCTGGTCCTCTCCCACGTCCCAGAGTGACTGAGTCTAGCCCGTTCTTCGTGACTGGAATAGACTTCGCGGGACCTCTGTTCTCAGTCGATCGGCCGCGACACAAGCTATACGTTTGTCTTTTCACGTGTGCTACAACGCGAGCGGTCCACTTGGAGCTAACAGAGTCCATGTCGCTGTCGTGCCTTTTGCTGGCCTTGCGGAGTTTTGTGGCCAGACGAGGCTGGCCAGTAGTGATCTACTCGGACAACGCAAAGACCTTCAAGGCGTGCTCGACTCATCTACAGTCGAGCATCGGACACGCGGCTCCCGAGTGGAGGTTTTCAGTGCCCTACGCGCCGTGGCATGGTGGCTGGTGGGAGAGACTGATTCGATCAGTCAAAGTCGGACTGAGGAAGTCAGTAGGGCAGCGGCATCTGGCACAACGTGAGCTAGAAACGATCCTACATGAAGTTGAGGCGTGCGTCTATTCCAGACCTCTGACATTTGTCAGTGATGATAGTGGATGCCCTGGTCCACTCACTCCCAATCACTTTCTCATTGGTCGTGCCTCAGTATTGAGTCTGGAGAGGTCAGAAGGTATCGAGGGTGCGTCAGGGGAGGCATTAGGCCGACTGAACTCAGTACGTAACGAGCGGTTAGAGCGGTTCTGGCGAGTGTGGCGTGACGAGTATGTACGAAACCTGCCAGCTATCGTTCCCAAGTTTGGAACCAGAGGCAATGTAAAGCTCGGCAGTGTAGTGATTATCAGGCGGGACAATGCTCCGCGTTTGACATGGCCTATGGCAACGGTTGAAAAACTGTATCATGGACCGGATGGTGTGGTTCGGTCCGTGCAGGTCCGCACCAGTGATGGGCGCCGCACATGCTGTGCGGTTCAGCGACTACACAACCTGGAGCTGGTGTAGGAGAGCAGAGCGATAGCAGCACCGGCAGCGCTCGGTAGCCCGACTGTTACAACCGAGTGCTAGAGCGGAGGTGGAAAGACAGTGTTTGTTGATTGTGACATGTGCTCTGTAAGCTGTATCAGTTTTGCATCTAGGGACTGACATGTGTTGCAGTAGGTAGGTATGTGATTGGTCCACTCAAACCTTCTGCAACGGGGGGAGTATGTTGTGTATTGAAAGTCGTCTGCCCAAAAGTGCACGAACCGCGCGCGACAAATAATGTGAAATTGAAGATCAGCGAGTTTGTGGACAGGGCTCAAAAAAAGCTCCGTCCTGCCGATGAGGTCGGCGACCACGAATGCTATAACATTTCCCAGTGGTGCGACCAAAAACGCGAAATATCAAACAAATTTTCGAAGAATATCTTTAAAAACTATATAAATATTGTTAAGAATATTGCCATAACTTCAGCATCACTTATGCGCATCATTAAGTCATTGGTCACCATGGTTACTTCCACGGTACAACCTGGACACTGGACGGTGAGCAAACATACCACTGTTGTAGGATAAACTACCACCTTCCGTACACGGGAATACTACCACGTTTCCCCATCGGCGCTCGTCGGCGTTTTCTGTGCGACCACCCGTGTTAAACCAATGGGGAAGAGCGGTTGTCAAAATCGCCGACGAGCGCCGTTCATTGGTCGCCCAGATGGTCTCCTACTACGCAGTAGGTACGCGGCGTGGCGTATTACGGGACGGGACGCTCACCCACCGCGCCGGCCCGGCCGGCCGGCCGCCAGCTGACTGCCACCGTGGGGGAAGGGACGCCGAGGGGGAGGGGTGGCGTCCGTCGGGTCAGCCAGGGGAGGAGTAGGGATTCGGGCACAAAATTTCACTCTCGTTTGTTATGGTGTATTTAAGCTGCGTTCGGACAGCCCGGTCACTGCGTGGAACTTCCACGCCGAGGAATTCCTCACGCAAACGCGTTCAGTCAGCGCGAAACACTATGGCCAAGCGGCCGAAAGGCGATCGTTTCCGTGAGGAGCTCATCGGCGTAGAAACTCCACGTGGAAACCGGGCTGTCCGAACGCAGCGTTAGCGATCAAACCACTGCTTTTAATTCATGTTGTAATTGCAGATTCGTGTACATTGGTGGCGCTTGATACGTGCTACGGTGCTGGGAATAGCAGCATTAGAAGTTAATTGGTTTAAAAAACGTTCCATTGCCTGTGCGACAACCAAAGAGCTATGGGCAGAGTACCTACTGGGCAGCCGGTGCTGCGACCACAATCTGAATAAAACTTTTGGTCGGCGACCACCAAACAGCTTTTTTGAGCCCTGTTTGTGGATTGAAATTCGGATTTGAATTTGAGGCTTATCGTATTGTTTGTATCTTGATTGGTGCTTCGGCAATATAAACGAATTTGTTAAAGTTGTCTAAGTCCTCGATTTATAACAGGGGGAGGGTCCTTTTAACCCGCGCCCCAGTGGCGGTCTCAGCCAACTTCGCCCTAGTGGGGGGGGGGGCACATGCTACCACCCACCTCTAACTCAAAAACTAAGAGGGCTAGAAAGAAGTGGTAAAATTCAGTCGATAGCTCTCAATGCGTACGTTTGAAAGTATTTCAGTCATTTTTCATCTTAGAGCAATATTGGGGTCACTGGAGGTCATCAAAGGTCAAAATTTGCCAAATGTCATTATATTTTTCAGAAAACATGCATTTATCTCAGGAACTATGATAGATAGAAAAACGCATGGAAAAGCAATCGATAGCTTTTAAACTTGTCTTTTGATAAGTTAATGATCAAAACTGACCTCAGGTCAACGGTTTAGCCTTCAGAGGGCAAAAACTCCAAAAATAGCTTTTCGAAAAGTGTTTTTTCGACAATAACTTTTGACTTTAAAAAAACCCACGACATTTCTATTGCCAGAATCGTGTTCCTCTTGCCGAGACGCGTCGAATGAACTATAACTTGACCTTGAAAAGTCAACTTGAAAATTTGACCTCAGGTCAAGGTCATGACCTGACCGGAAAAGGTCATGTTGCGTATCATTCGATGCGTCTCGATAAGACAAACACAATGAAGCCATTTCAAGCGTTCTATCTCTTTCCAATCGAGAGTTATTTGCAAAAAGCTGTTTGTAGCCTCAAATGATCTCTGATGACCTTTCAATAGGCTATCAGCAAAAAAGATACCTTGGCCATCACGGGTGGTCCAAATCATTGTGATTCTGAAATATTTGGACTGTTGCTATGCGTACACACGGATCTAGAGGCATTTTCATTTCTCTCCATTGACTTATAATGGTAAGGTCACGCCACTGGCCTGACCTTAGGTCACGGATATAAAAAATCCGAGATATACAAATTATAGGCACCCATAACATCATACAATCCACCAAGTTTAAAACCTTTCTGACAAACACTGCAGGCTGGACAAGATTGCAAACTTTTTTAGCCTTGGTCAGTTAACTTGACCTGGTGACCTGACCTGACATGACCTGGGGTCAAAAATTTCACATTGTCCAAAATTGATTTACAGGAAGATACTCCAAGCGGCACGGCGCTACGCGCCGCGGTTTTTTATTCACACGCAAAAAACGCGACAGGGTGGTAACATATGCCCCCCCCCCCCCCACTGGGGCGAAGGTTAAAACTACTGAAAAGTGATATCACGGATTCTAGTTGCTTACCAGAGTCGGAGTTGAGGCAGCTTGACGGACTCCAACTCTAACTCCGACTCCCGGTTGCTTGCCACGACTCCGGGCGACTCCGACTCCGAAACCCTGGTTTGAACATCCCTTTTCAACTCAGCATTTCGACATTTTCTTAGGTCAGGTCATCAAAGGTCATCAAAAATAAAGTGTTGCCTATTTCAACATTTTCGGGAAAAAACGGCGAATAACTCGGGAACCAGGAAGAGCTACAGTGCCGCGGAGAAGAGCAATCGATAGCCCTTTTAACGTGCTTTCTGGAAGCTCTCAGATATGATATAGGACCAACGGTATAGCCTCCAGAGCAAAGACAGAGGCGTGCCCATAAACAAGCACGTTGCGTGAATAGCCGTGTCGCCCCCCCCCCCACCCGAGACAGAGAGGAGGTCTATAGCCCTGCTCTGGAGGTGAAACCGTTGGTCCTAGGTCAAATCTTAGCGCTTAGTCCAGAAAGCGCGTTAAAAGGGCTATCGATTGCGCTTCTCCTCGGCGCTGTAGCTCTCCTGGTTCCCGAGTTACTCGCCGGTTTTTCGAAAAATGTTGAACTAGGCAGCATTTCACCTTTGGTGACCTCTGGTGACAACTACCTACGGATTGGTGGAATACCTAATAGTTGACCTGACCTGAACCGACCTACTCCAAATCAGGGGTTCGGCGTCGGAGTCGCCCGGAGTCGTGGCATTGAACCAGGAGGCAACTAGACGGAATTATCCAAGCCCCACGACTCCGACTCCGACTCCGGCACATGCATTGACCTGACTCCAAGCGATCTAAGCATCGATTGGATAATACAATGTAGAATGACCTTGACCTGACTTCAAGCGACCTAATTACCCATTAGGATACAAGGGACGATTATCATTTTACGTGCAAGCACGTTATCAACCGATTGCGATAAGCTTCGAGAAGTGGTGATTTCCGGATGACTGATAAAATTACATTATGACTAATAGCATAACATTCCGAGTTATTCTCGATTTTGTGGAGAAAAAAAAACACAAACAATAGGTACCTACCACTTTGCCTTTAGTTTCGGTTCCGCTGTGCGTCAGACGGACGCTCGTGTCAGCGCTCAGGACAGAGTTGATGGCAGCGGTCGCTGATACAGCGCCGCACCAGGCAAGATTCACTCACACAGGCTCGTCTCGCTCATTCCCAATGATGTTGGATGTTAATCATTTATTACATGGCATCAGTTACCGGCTACAGAATTGAGAGTGGCTAACATGCGCCACGAAGGCTGCAGTCAGTATTACAAAGCCGAGCAAAAACTGGTCTCCAATTGACGGCGCTGCTGCCCACAATGAAAGTGATGTAGTTCCGAGTGTTGAAACCAACTCACAGTGTTGGCTGGCATATAAGCAGGCTTGAGAGTGGCTGGTGGACCAAGTGCCCGCAGCACTGGATCAGAGACAGATGGGGAGCCTTGTAAAGGTAAGGTGAATTAGTCCCGTCGTATTCGTTCACACAGTTATTTTTTATCGCAATACAACGCTATCGAGTGTGAGTGAATGATAGCCCACCCCTGGGGCGAGTCAGCTGGGGATGCTCTCCATTGTCAGAGAAGCATTAAATACATATCTCAAGCGCATACTGTGCGCTCTTTTATTGGGAGAACTTGGAGGTGCGCTACTGGATACAAAAAAAAAATAACTTATTCGTGTTACCCATTGGCGGATCCAGAAAGGTGGTCTTGGGCGCTGCAGGAGGCATGCCCCTCAAAAGCTTCTCCAAATTAAAAAAAAGAAACTTATGGGATTTCAATTCCTAGCGCACTGCTGTGCAGTATGAAACAAACTTTTCCCAATTAACGTTGTTAGGCTTTTGTTTTAGTCTAAAAAAATCGTCGATTTCGCGGGGGGGGGGGGGGGCATTTGTCCCTAACCTCCCAACCCCTCCCCGGATCCGCCAGTGGTGTTTCCTTTATAATCGTTAATGTAACATCGGAGAAGGAGCTAGCTTGACTAATGGCACACATCAACTGATGCACTTAATGTTGTGGCTCCTGTGTTTCAGGCGCTGCCATGGTTGGCGCTCGCCGCTGGTGTGCTGGCAGACGTCAGTCCGGCGGCCAGTAAAGGTGTTCAAATCGAGGCTGCCCCTGCCGAACAGACAGGCAAGGGTGAGCCCCAAAAGGATCAGCTATCCGCGGGCTCTGGCTACATCAACTCGGTCAGCAATGGATATGGAGGGTCGTCAGGCTACGGCGGAGGAGGATACAGCGGCGGTGGTGGATACAGCGGCGGTGGATACAGTGGAGGAAGCGGCGGTGGCTACGGAGGAGGTGGCTACAGCGGCGGTGGTGGATACGGAAGAGGATACAGCCGAGGGGGTGGCTACGGAGGCGGAGGATACAGTGGAGGAAGCGGCTACAGCGGCGGCGGCGGCTATGGAGGCGGAGGGTACAGCGGCGGAGGTGGCTACAGTGGAGGAGGCAGAGGCGGCGGCTACGGAGGAGGTGGCTACGGAGGCGGTGGCTACAGCGGAGGCGGTGGCTACGGAGGCGGAGGATACAGTGGCGGCGGTGGCTACGGAGGAGGTGGATACAGCGGCGGTGGTGGCTACGGAGGCGGAGGGTACAGCGGCGGAGGAAGAGGATACAGTGGAGGAGGTGGTTACAGCCGAGGGGGTGGCTACGGAGGTGGAGGATACAGTGGAGGAAGCGGCTACAGCGGCGGCGGCGGCTATGGAGGCGGAGGGTACAGCGGCGGAGGTGGCTACAGTGGAGGGGGCAGAGGCGGCGGCTACGGAGGAGGTGGCTACGGAGGCGGTGGCTACAGCGGCGGCGGCGGCGGTGGCTACGGAGGAGGAGGGTACAGCGGCGGAGGAGGATACAGTGGCGGTGGAGGGCATGGTAATGGCTACGGCTACGTTAAGTCGTACCGGCTGCGACCGCAGGTACATTTTCGGCCGAAGCCCATCAACCTGTACCAGAATGTGAAGCATGACGTTGTTACTGTTCTGGTGCCGAAGAGGAAACACTACGGCTACGGCGGCGGCTACGGCCACGGCCACGGCCACGGCGGATACGCCGGCTCGATCGGATACTACCGGTAGGGTGTGCACTCGTAGGGCAGCTGTTTTTTTTTTTACTCACAGCATCTGCGTTCGTCCGCAACAAAGTGAGCGTTATGGCCGCGTGAGGATTTTCTGGTCCTCGCGCGAGACCATGCGTGCATATAATGTGAAATGCACAAATTAAGTGTAGCTGTCGTGCCTCCAAACACATTGTTAATGTTGTGATCAGCAGGATGATTTGATAAATGCCTGCTTTGTTTGGGTATATGTAGGTACAATACAGTAATGGTGCTGAGACTCCCGTTTAGCTAAATGTTCTGGGCATATTTTTAAAGGGACTATCCCACCTTTAACATGGGGTTTGAGTTGAAATAGCCAAGTTTGCGGCGAGGTTCAGAAACCACTATCTATCTAGGTTGCAACCCCCGCGGCCTCTTGGTGTTGAAGAAATTCGTTCGCTTCATTTGAAAATGGGCCTTGTACAAGGCCCTATCTTCAACATGGAGCGACCGTTAGTGTGACGTCACCTCGTTTAGTCATTCTGATTTAAATGGGTTTGTTCGTTGAAAAATCGCTTAAAACTTGGTCTGAACTTTGTTGTGGTGCCTGCAGAGTAAAAAGAATCAGCTTTATGACAGTAATGTGGCCTGGGGAAGGAGGTAATTTTGGGCTGTGACGTCACATATTTGAAAGTTTGTGTTTGGAATGTGGGAAGCCTAAGATGTTTAATGAAAAATAAATGCCAGAACCGTGTTCCTGGTCATCCAATCTATAAAGTCGGGCACAATTTAACTGGTTTTAACAACATTTTAGAAGGTGGGATAGTCCCTTTAATGCCCGCTAAGCTAAGAAATCAAGGACAGCTCACATCGGTCTGGGAAAATTTCGCTGGCCGAATGGTTACGACTTACGAGCGATCGAGCAAACAGCGAATCGAATGTCTCGATATTCAGGGACGGCGCCACAGGGGGAGGGGGCAGGGGGTAGCCGCCCCCCAAACTATGAACACTCGGGCCCTCTTTCAACCTGCAGGTCAGGTATAGACGGAATACTCTCTGGCTGTGCAGAAAGAAGACTTCTGAGCAGAGCTGTAGAAATGACCAGGAGTGGGGAATGAAGCCAGAGGGGGCCTTCACAAGGTGCCGCCGCCAAGATAAACTTCGGGCTTTGCCCATGTTTTTGGAAAAGGGCCCAATTTCGCAAAAAAAGGTGAAACAAGATAATTTATTTTGAATCTTGGGTGATTGTGGCCCTGTCCTATGCTGTAGAAAGGGCCCGGGCCAAAGCTGGCCCATGCCACGTCTGAGAGGGCCCATTCAATAAACGAAAGGGCCCAGGCAAGGTCTGGGAGGTACCATATTATGACTGAGGAGAGGGACCATACAAGTCATGTCAGGACCCGCAGCGGTGCTGAGATGGCCCTTGGAAGGAGCGCGAGAGCCTCTTTCCAAGGGAGGATGGAATGCCTGAGAGGGCCCATACCTACCAGCCGTGATAGGGCCCATATCAGTACTGAGAGGGCCCACAGCAGGGCCCATAACAGTACTGAGGGGGCCACCACAAGTTATGTGAGGGCTCGTGCCCTGACATATTACTGAGGGTTATGTCAGTCAATATCAATATGGAAGGGCCCCCAGCAGTACTAAGAGGACTGTTGCAATGAATAGGGGGGCCCGTACCATACCTGAGAGGGCCCATACCACTCATGCGAGGGCCTGCAGCGGTACTGAGAGGGCCCTTGCAAGAACTGGGAGGGCCCGGATCATGCCTGAGAGGGTCCATGCCAGTCATTAGAGGGCCCACAACAGTGCTGAGAGGGTCATTAAAAGGTCTGGTAAGGTCCTTAAAATGTCTGAGAGGCCTCAGAAGCCCCCTAGTAGTGCAAAAAGGCATATCAAGTATCTGAGGGTCCCTACCAATCAAGAAAGTCCAATGACCATGCCAAACTGAGGATCTCCCGAACTTCAGAAGGCCCATACCAGGCCTCAGGGGCCCTAACCAGGCTTCAGAAGGACCATATCATGTCTAAAGGGGCCAAGCCAGGTCTCTGAGCCTTCTACTAGGCCTTAGAAGGTTCATATTATACTTCATGGGGACCTGACAGGTTTCCGAAGGCCCAGACCAGTCCGCATAGGGCCCCTATAAGGCCTCAGAAGGCCAATTTCAGGCCGCATAGACCCTAACAGACTTCGGAAGTCCCGTATCAGGCCACAAAGTGCCTATACCAGGCTTCAGAAGGTTCATACTAGGCCTAATGGGGCGTAACAGGTCTCCAAATGCCCATGCGAGACCTCAGAGGGCCCATATCCAGTCTCGGGGGCACATAGGAACTAGGCCCCTTGCATATGATATCGAAATCGCCCGCGAGTACGCCGCACTAAACCCTGGCCGCCGGTCAACCTTCGGGGTCAGCCGTACCATACTTGAGAGCGCCCATACCACTCATGCGAGGGCCTTTAGGTCAACCTAAGGGCCGAGGCACCGCTCCTGGGTCATGTGTGTACCGGTGTTTTTGGGCCGGCCCTGTCGAGCCGAGCTCCTGTTTGAGCCACTGTCCCTCCGAGTCACTTTCCAGCCAGGAGGGGGGGGGGGGGCATGATAAACTCCAGTATTGAAAACACGCTTTTGTTCAGTATTTTGGCTGCTCAGGCTGATTCAGGTTGTTTACGTGGAATTCGTTGGTCAGGATAGTAAACAGCTTCCAACAAAAAAGGTTACCTATTCAGTATTCATGTTACCACAAAACAATGTCTTGCCTGTTGTCCAACGGACCTCCTCGCTTTTTCGCGAATAACTCGCGTAAAGAGCGGCTGATCGCTACGAAACTTTCAGTACCCTCGCGTTAATCAAGTTTACATCTATCCTAAAAAAATAATGACCCTGACCCTAATGACCTTTGACCCGTGACCTACTTTTCCAGACATAGGCGTAGGAATAGGGGGGCCAGGTGGGCAAGTGCCCACCCACTTTTCGAGGTGGGGGGGCCAACCATGTGTTTTGGCCCACCCACTTTTTACTCGAGGCCCCTCGTCTCGATTTGAGAAGACGTCGTCACCTTCCAGAATCAACAAACTCGGTAAAAATAAGTTCCACGAATCCCCACGCACGGACTCCAAGGGGCCGTGATGGATCCAAGGAGGCCCTCTGTTCATACTTATCAGTCGAAGCCCCTGAGACTGATGGCCTGAGAGGCCCTAGTGGATCTGAGGAGGCCCCAATATCCACACTGGTCTGGGAGGCCCCTCCATCCACACTAGTCAGAATAGGCCCCTGACACTGGCGGTCTAGCCGAGGCCCCCTACCCTCACTAGTCAGAGGAGGCCCCTCTATCCTCAATAGTCGGAAGAGGCCCCTGAGACTGATGGTCTGGGAGGCCTATCCATCTACACTGTAGTCAGAGGAGGCCCCTGAGACTGATGACCTGAGAGGCCCTTATAATCACACCAGGCAGAAGAGGCCCATGATACTGATGGACTGAGACGCCCTTCTATTCATACTGGCCACAGGAGACCCCCAAAACTTTCGGTCTGGGAGGTCCCTCAATCCGGCACCAGTCAGAAGAGTCCCCTGAGACTGATGGCCTGGGAAGCCCTTATATTCACACTAGGCAGAGGAGGCCCCTGAGACTGATGGTATGAGAGGCCCTCATATTTACACCAGTCAGAAGAGGCCCCCGAGGCTGATGGCTGTGAGGCCCTTCTGTTCATATAACTGGCCACTGGAGGCCCCTGAAACCGGTGGTCTGGGAGGGCCCTCTATCCACACTAGTCAGAAGAGGCCCCTGAGACCGATGGTCTGAGAGGCTCTTATATGCATACTGGCCACAAGAGGCCCCTGAGACTGATAGTCAGAGAGGTCCACTCGTAATGAATCTAAGGGGGCCCTCTATCCACATTTACACTTTTTTAGGGAGGCCCCCGGGAATGATGGTCTGAGAGGCCCTTTTATTTATACTGTCCACAGGGGCCCCCTGAGATTAATGGTCTGAGAGGCTCTTCTATTTATACTAACCAGAAGAGGCCCCTAGGATTGATGGTCTAACAGGCCCTTCTATTTATACTAGCCTGAGGAGGCCCATGAGACTTATGGTCTGAGAGGCCCTTCTATTCAAACTAGGCAGATGAGGCCCCTGAGAATGATAGGCTGAAGAGCCATGCGGCGGCAACTGGCCGTGGCCATATTTCGGCTAGGTAGGGCCCCACAGAGCTCATGAGAGCACCTCAAGGGCTTTTAAGTAGACACGCTTATCCCCATAAGGGTGCCGCCACGCCGGCTTCTGAAGGCTCCTTGTAGGCATCTAAGGGCCCTTTCCGGCCTCTAACGGCTCCACCCGCCTGAGATGGCTCCACACCAGTGTTTATGAACGCCCCACAGCGGCGCCTTTGAGGGTCATACTAGTGTCTCTTAGGGCCCTATATCGGTGGCTCTGGGGGCCCCACACCGGCGCCTCTGTGGGCCACCACACCTGTGCATCTCAAGGCTCTATATGTACATCTGAAGGACCCACACCGACACCTCTGAGGGCCCCACACCAGTATCTCGGTGCTCTGAAGGCCCCACACCGGTGACTCTGAGGACTCACCGGCTCCTGAGAGCACCATGTTGATGTCTAACGGCTCCACAAGGCCACTGAAGGCACCACACAAACTCTCACTGGGCTCTAATGTCCATGTACCGGCCTCTGAGGGATTTAAGCCAGCGCATTCGTAGCTCCACACCAGCAATTGTAAGGGCTTCACACTGAAGTATCTGAGGGTTCCACACCGGTGTCTCTAAGGGCCACATACCGGCATCTCTGAGGGCCCCATACCGGCGTCTCCGAGGGTCCACATCTGGCGGGCACCCATCAGCGACTGAAGGTGCCACACTGTCGACTCCGAGAGTCCCATCTGCGTCTGGGAGCACCATGCCGTCTCTAAGAACCACAGCGGCTCCTCCGTACGAAAGATGGGCGTCTGCATGCCAAAGGGGAGCGGTTCTGAGACAGTAGGGCACCTACGTGCAATAGAGGGGCGCCTATGAAGCCCATAGGGGCGCCTCAATGCGAAAGAGGGGCGCCTCTGAGGCCTACATATATGGGCGTCCACATGCAATAGAGGTCTGCAAATTGCAATTGATTAATGCCATGGGGGTGCATTCATAAGAAACAGGGGCGCCGGCATGGCAAAGAGAGGCGCCTTCAAGTGTCCATAAAAGAGAGACGCCTATGATAAGCGCACATTGTACAGGGTGACACAAAAAAACGGTCATCACCAAAATTCGAATAACTTCGGAAGTTTTATTCAGATCATCACCAA